TCTCTCTCTCTCTCTCTCTCTTTCTCTCTCTCTCTCTCTCTCTCTCACCAAAAGCGACGAACAATTCAAGGAATATTCCATTTTAGGCGAAAATACCATTCCGTAGCTGATTTGCATATTCATTTACGATGCTGCAAATATTTGAATGGCCTCCTGTACTCGCTCAATCGATGGCAAAAAAAACATCCAAACGAAATGCCATAAATACATGCATAAATTGCTAAATTCGTTATTAGCATTATATTCGCTTTGGTTTGTGTTGTTCCATTCATTTGGCATGAAAATACACAATAAAATTGGGCGGCCCGAAAGCACTCGAGCGTATGTGTTGCAGTGTACCGCAATTTCGCATGCAACGTCTCTATATGTTGAAGTATGAAATGTTGAACGCGGCGAAAATCTTCAAAATAAATCGTAACAACGGGAATGAAACGTACGCCGGCTATCATTTAGCTCAAAATTTCTTTCCGTAAATATGTGCTAAGTGAGCGCGAAAAAAACGTGCACAAAAGATGCCGAAAGACATACACCGCCCGTTGGTAACAGCAAACAACCGAGAGACGTAGGAAGAAAAATCGGCTTAAAAACCAATGGAAATTCCGTTTCACGGTGTCGAAAATGTGGAAAAAAGAGCTGAGGGCAAATGAACATTCAAATTATGCGCGGTGTTCGTTTGCCTTTTCTGATTTTTATTTGCGCATTTAAACAAGCGAGCATTTGTAGGTTGTTGTTATTTTTTTTCTGTATTTATGTTTGCTTTTTCCATTTATTCCCATATTTTCTTCTTAAGGATTTTCGTATATTTTTTTCCTATTCGTTCGTTCGTTCATTTGCCGCTTTTGATTTATTTCGGGCTCGACACCGAGCAAATAATAATCGCAGAGTTATAACGCTCACTTGTGCAAATAGACGCATAATCGAGACTACTTTTTCATTTGCAACAAATGGTAAATTATGAAATCGTTTTAAAATTTATGGTTAAGCGCGTAAAGCGTTCTTGTATTCAGAGAGGGAAACATCTTTGCATTTCAGAAATAATACTATTTCTCGTTCACTCGTCTGTTGCACACACATGAATTCGTAATGGCCAAGGGTATGAAACGTATTACTTCCACTCTGCACATAAATCAAAAGGATTTCCGGTTGGATTCGGTGAAAAGTGTGCCCGACGCAAAATGAATCGGCATTTCGGCAACAAAACACGAGACACCATCAATATGGTTCTCGTTTGCATGAGTATAGGAAAATAAATCTATAGAGACAGAAAAAAAAACTCCGATCCAATAAATTCAGTTGATACATTGAAATGTTTTAAATTTTTATTGGAATGAAAAGAGAGAAAAAAATTTATCAATTTTATATGACACTAAACGTTACATTGTATGCCCGATGTGCGCTTCATTTAAACTATCGTACGACCAATATTTTGTATTTTTCCTTTGTTTTTCGTGTAAATTGTTAAACAATAACGGTATGTTTGTTGAAGGAAAGGGGTGTTTTTACAGCAAAAGATGCAATCGAATTAGCCGTAGTTTGCATTTAAACAGAGAAGCTGTGGCAATGAAAAAGAGAAGGTCATCTCCAGAAGAGTAGGTCAGAAAAAAGGGGAAAAAAAGAGAGAAAAAGAAAAGAAAAACTAAAGGATAAAACAAAAAAAAAACTATTCCTACGAATGGAGCAGAGAGCTGTCCATTGAAATGTGCTTCATCATTTACATTTATAATCATACTTTAGGTTAATAATAATAATCTGGATTTTATATTCACAGTAATTCTAGAATAATCGGCTATTCGACGAAAAAAAGAAACAAAATTGTTGTTCATCATTGACCGAAAGGTTCAATCAGCATCCACTTGCCTTGAATATATATTGTCTTTTATGGGTTTGATTTGTTAGTATTAAACTACTAAAATATGATTCTTTGATTTGACATTATTATGGTATTCGGACTGGTTTTTTTTCTCTTCATTTTATTTTTCTCCTTATTCATTTTAATCTAAGATCAGAATGTGTATGTGTGTGTGTGTAATTTATTTCCTCGATTTCTACTATCTTCACGCGAATGATCAAATATAAAGCTAAAAAATCTTTAACAAATCTTCAAATTATTTATCAATGTTTTTTTTTCTTGTTTCTTTGTTTTTTGTTTCGTGTTGGAAACATTAATTTCTCTCACATTATATTTTCTTATTGGTTTGGTTCACGTTTTACTCTCAACAACAAATTGTGCTTGACAAATGACAAAGCCAAATATTACCGTATTAACATATAGATGATAACACTTAAGAGCTTCATTGTTGATGTTTTTTTTCTAAATAACGATCGATGGTTTAAGCTTTGCCTTAAATCGAAAATTACATACGTTATTTATAAATTCACATTGACTTAGCTATAAATTCTACTTTATCCATTTGAATTTTCATACTCGGTCCATAACATCGTGTGAAGGATTTTCAAAATTGTTCTTCATATATACGAAAATGCGTACAAATTCACAGTGAAATGGGCATACCAATGGGGGAAAATAAACTATGCATTTATCATATCATGATACTCTTAAATTTTATATTTATATACCTACACATAGTTTTCAATGTGTTTGTGTGTTGAATTCAAACGCACTTGAAATGACCGAAAAACGATATATTTTTTTTTATGCCAACGCCATGTCGATTTGAGACGTTCAATACGTAGAGGTGTTATGCGAATGGTGTTCCATTTCTTCGTCGTTCGTTCCTTCTCTCGAAATTTGGTGAAATTGAATGAAGTAAAAAATTATAGCTTAAGTTATTGATGTTCGAGCAAAACGGTTTATCAGCATCATCTATTCGGACTCGTAATCAACCCAGGCGACCTTTGCCCATTCGGGAAGTGGAGTCTCGTATTCCCAGCCTGGACCCTGTGTTGCAGAAGAAGATAGAAAAAAAACAGAATATAAATTACAATTTCAATTGAAAGTTCACTTGAAACCATGAAAAAGTGCTGGTTTAATATTAGCATTTAATTTATGAGTCAAAAGGTATACTTTAAACTATATTACAACTATTTGCGTATCTTTTTCAATAATATATAGTCCAATTAAAATGCGCAAAATGTTTCCTATTAACATTTAATTGAAATAAAATTGCTTTTATCTTTCTGTCCACATGACAACTTTTTTGTATAGATGCTTCTGCCGCTGTTGCTGTCGTCTATCGACTTCCCCATTCGCAATATGCCATTTTATTTCTATCAATGCAATGGCTCATATTATTATTGTTATTATTCATCGAGAACAATGTGCATTTGTCAACGAGTCGCTAGCATATGTGCTGGAGCCAACAATAGGAACGAGAAAAAAAACCTAGGCTATTTTTCTATTGAAGAAAATTGGCTTTTAGGTCACACGTTCAATGCAATACGATTTATCATATATTTTTTATTTTTGATCTCTCTTTATAACATGCGAACTTTTGTTGATAAATTCCAAAGCATTAAATGGAAAAAATATATATTTTTTCATAATTCTATAGAAATGGTCTTTTGGAAAAGACTTCTTTTTCTCCCTATTCGTCTTCTTTTTTTCGTCTTCTTGTTCTTCTTCTGTTTTGTTGTTGCGTTGTAGTTTTGCGTGCTAAGGCACAGGCATCGTATGAACAAGCAAAACGAACTCCACTTGCATTTTTTTTTATTTTAGAAAAAAACTTTTAATTTTTGCTCGTAATATGCGGATAGGAAGTAGGTTTCATATCAAACTGTGCGAATGAAAACATACAAGGTAATTGTTTGCAGAACGTTTATTACTAAATAAACGAATGCAAATTAAAATATTCTTTCCATCAATGGGAACGACGGATTATTCTGTCACAACTTTTGCCATTTGTTGTTTTTCGATGGTTTTCACTTTTGGTCTGTGTGTGTTTGAGTGGCAGCGTGGCAGCAGAGCTGAGCAAAAACCACACACACACACACACATACCATTTTCATGGGCGATGCGTCATGCCAACACAATTTACGAACAATGTGGACAAAAGAAGGAAGCAATTTAAAACGATGCATTGCTATGCTTGTCGTCGGCTTGCTTTCACTCATTCAAACGACAAATGAGTGTGAGAGTAGGGAAAAAAAGCTCGCCGCAAATGATATATTTTCATTTGTTCAGCTATTAAATGGCACCTTCAATTTCAAATTCATAAGCTCATACACTCACATGCGTTTGCCATGAATCCAGCTGTATGCGCGCGCTTTTATTGAAATTATGCACATAAGGTATTATGTGAACTTTTGTGTACGGTTCAAATGCCCCGCGGACCGAAAGTGAAGTGAAAATATTTTAAGTAAATAAAGCAATCAGAATGTGAAAAGAAGAGGGGAGAGAGCGAGAGAAAGGCCTCTTGATGCACAGTCGGAAACATTTATGGTTTAATTGCTTTGCTTTTCAGTCTTTTGAAGAAAAATGAACTCCTCTCGAGGATGATGGGAACTTTTGCTGACGATGAACGTCAACACAATGCATGTGCGAAAGAGAGAGAATAAAAAAAACGAGAGAAGCAGACGACGAGAATGAAAGTGCATAAAAAAACATCGCGTCTTTTGTGTTGTGGTTTTTATTGTTTGATATTTAGTGCTGCACTCACGTAAGCGCTTAAAAAATGTACGCTGACACAATTTGAATGGGACTGATGGCAATAAATCAAAGTAAAAATGGAGACAAACACACGGAACGAGCGGGAGAGGAAGAGGAAGAGAAAGAAAAAGCGAATAGAAAAGATTTAAGCTCGCTAAATCCATGGCATAGATAATCTCCCCGTCTAATGGATGCGGAACGAGCGCGTGCGCGCACGCATCAAACGAAAACTCTCAATGCTACCAATTTAATGGAACTTCTTTATGTTTTTTTGTGTGTATGTATATGGGGATGTGTACAAAGCACTAATTTCAATTTCGAAATGAATTAATTCACTTAAACTCACTGAATCTTAACAATGGATTTTATTTTAATATCAAACCAAGGCAAACTTAGTGCGATTCGGCATCGTTTGCACAGACGAGTTTCCTTTTTCCCGTCTTATAGACGCACGCAAAGCAGATCGCTTCAGAAAACAAACAATTACGGACTTTTCGCTTATTAACATTCTCGATGAATTCGTTTGAGAGTCTAATTAATTTTGTGTGCTAGCAAAGAGTGAGGGTATCTGTCAGTGAATTTGAATGAATAATTTTGAAAATCAAAATTGTAAAGCAGTTCGTAGATTGTCTGCTGCTGCTGCTGCTACTGCTTCGGCTGCTTCTGTTTGCCAAACTTTTGCTGGTGCTGTTATTGCTTGCTTACCTGATATTTCCATGCGTGCAAGTACATAACCAAGTCTTGTGGTTTTGGGTCTCGGTAACGAACTTTGCACTCGTAACAGTGTTTATCAACTGTCATTTTGTCGGGGCTGAATGTGAAATCTGGGTTGTCATGACCGGTTTGTGTTGCCACAGTAACCTAGCATTTGTGTGCAGGAAAAGAGGAAAAAAGAATAATTGAATGATCGGAATCAAAAGTGGATTGGGTCGATTCATTTTTTTTTTGAGTAGTGAAAAGTGGTTTATTACCTTTGCTTGGTCTGCAGCACTGCATGCCGACATCGATGTTGATGTCATAACTGCTGTATGGATACTATCAACTGGGCTTTCGCTACCCAATGAAACCGGTCGTGGACTCTCCGAGCACGGCGATGCTTCACGTGAAACACTCTCCGAATCATCATCGCTCAATACTGTGCCTGAAAATCCGAAAAAAGGGAATTGATTAAAATACCGCTCTGTTTTTCCATCTGTCTCTCTATCACAGTACGGATTAGCCATCGTAAATCACGCGCACTAAAAGAGATTATTTTGATTTCGCCATTTTTGATTGAATTCGTCTTACCTTTTCCAGTTAAGCTGCCGAGACCATCGTCAGAATCGGCTTTCATTGTTTTGAACAGTGACAGCTCTGAATCGCCATCAATTCCCAACCAATTTTCGGCATTATGAATATTTATAAGATCGCGAACGAGTTCTTCATCAGTTTTACCGCCAATATCGCCTCCACGCCCCTTCAACGGTCCAAATACGTCGTGATTGTAAAGCGGATCGTTTACAACCGGATATCCTATATATACAACAGTGTATTTTTGTTTGTATTGTGCGTAAATTCAACGCATTTTTCCGAATTTAATTTGCGAGCAGCAGTAATGTGTGGCAACCATAGAATTTCGTATCCCAAAATGCGAGAAAAAGATAAGCGAAACGAAACGAAAAAGAAATCATCAATTTATATATTATTCATGAAGTGGAGCCAATTCGAAGCATTCGAAACAAGGGAGAAAAACAGATACGAACGCCTTTTCGACGGCCATCGTACGGCCGATGAAAAAACAATCTATACCTGAATAAATAAATAATTCTTTTTGAAAATAGAAAAAGTTTTCTAATTCTTGTTTTTCTGTAATTTCCCATTTCCTCGGTTTGGCCATTGTCTGCACTGATGCGATTAAAATACGTCACTCGAAGAGATAAAATCGTGGTGAAAGAACTTCTGAGAAAGAAAAAAACCGAAGTCTTTATGAAATTAAATGAATATTTCATTGGAAATTGTCATCATTCCCGGTTCCATTTGGTTTTTTTGTACTTTTTTCGGGAACATCGCTTGTTTTCTAACCGACATCAATTACCAAAACATGTCCCAATAAAATGAACAGGTAAACAGTTTATATTTTTAGCTGTTTCATGTTTTTTTCTCGGTTATTTTCTTTTTCATTCGATTAGGAAACATTTTATTAATTCGGAATTGGAACCGTTTGGATTTTTCCTATGTTTTTCGGGTTTGGTTCCGCATTTTGCGAAAGAGATTGAGCGGAAGAGAGCGCGAAAGAGATATAGGGAGGAAAAGAACGGGTATGCGAAAGATTAATGTCATACGGTTACTCGAAAGTGTGGAAACGCTCGATTCGAAAATTAAAAAGTTTTCCTCCATCTCTCAATGTAAACTTGATACTCAAAAATGTTTTATTTTTCACTCTCTCCTCTTCTCTGTTTCACTTTTTAATGTCTTTAAATGGAATTTTCTCGAGCAATACCTTCCACAATATCGAACCATTCGTTCGCCGAACTCGCGACCAACAAAATTATTCGAGAGGCCACAAACATGGAAATACTTTTCCCATAAGCTGTTTCGCACAAATGTTCTTTGTATTGGCTTGACTTTTTCTTGGGAATGGAAAACTTTCGTTTTTAAAATCATTATCTCCTGGAATCGAGTAAGGTGCAAATTGTACAAATGGCAAAATTCACTCAGGCGTTTCAAATGTTTTGATGCTTCGAAACGCTGTTTTTAAATCTAACCAAAATTTGTATATAAACATTTCTACTTGTACTCACCTAGAAATTGTAAATGAACACGGATTTGGTGCATGCGACCGGTCTTTGGTTTACACAATACGACGCTGGTTTTGCCATTGTAGCCGAGCTTCTGGAAAATGGTCATGCAATCTTTTCCCTTTGGCGACACTTTACACACGCCAATTTTATAACTAACTACTTCAATTGGTTCCTTACATTCGATAATGCCACTGGAAATAGATAAAGCGAAATGGAAAGGGAGAAAGAAAATCGATCGATTAGAAAATAAAATGGAAAACAATTTATGATGTTTCATATTTGATAAATTTTCTGTTTTCACTTCGTTGCGAATCGATAAAACATCAAGTGGAAAATGTGACAAGAACAGGAAAGTGCATTTTATTCTATTGAAACCGAAAAAAAACGATTGAATTCGTCTCGTAGAAAACCGTCTGGACATTTAAAATTGCGTACGCAACGGAATTGGAGACAAGAAAAAATGAAGAAAAAGAATCGAATGTGAGTTGCATTTAATGGAAGAATGACTGAAAGGTGAATTCGAGTGCTATTACCCAATGTTGAACAAAGGAATCGATCAATTGGATACGAGCAAACACTCAGCATTTGGGTTCGACGATGACGACGACGAACAATTCGCAACAAAAGAGCCGAGTTAACTTTTTATTATTAAATAACTGAACGAGTCGGAATGGAATGGTCGTGTCCGGGTGATTCGATTGTCATATCCAATTTCACGTTTTTCGTACACACACGTTGCACCATCAAATTTGTGTCATGTTGTTCGCCATTTGGAAACGATTTACTATCCGTTGATGCTTATTTGTTGTTTCTGTGCATTCAATCGATACAATCTTAAGTAATCGACCAAATATGGGAGTAAAATGGTGAAGCGAAAAAAAAACAATGGAAACGAAATGCACTTCTGTTCAAGATGAATTGCAATGGATGCGATAAAAAAGGGAAAAGAAATGCTCGTTACTTCGCTCTCCATTCTTATTATCGCTTTTGTTCGGTCACATTTTGTGCTGAAACAGTGTTACTTCACTTGCACTCTTTGTTTCTGCTGGACACTCAATTTTTTTTTTTTTTTGGTTCCATCCATTCGAGTGTTCTCGATATATTTGAGACGGTTTTGTCATTTTGTGTTCCGAATTTCGTGTGAGCGTGAGCGTGAGTGTATGTCGATGTTTGTGATATTGATTGGCCGTACTTACTCGGGGAAATCACCTTCGACGCGACACATATACTGTTTTTGCACTTGACGATTTCGGATTTGATGCTCCATTTGACGTGCTTTCTTTGGACTGCGACCGAATAGCAAAAGGCCCGACGTAAGACGATCCAAGCGGTGGATTGTTCGTAAATTTTTCAAATTGAATTCCTTAGCCAGTATGAAAACCACCGTATTGTGGCGGTATCGACCACATGGATGCACCTAATGCGGATTTAATGAAAGAAAGCATAAAATCGACATGAGGAAAAAAGAAGAAGAAGAAGAAAAGAGTGATTATTATTTTTCCAGTTAGTGCGCATATAAATATTGTGGAAAATGCAATTTTCTAACAGTTTAGATAAAGATGCCTTAGCTCTAATGCATTGTTATTTTTCGCTTCTCTGATTCAATATGGGGAAAACATATGGGGGATATTATAAGGATAGGAAACAAAAAATATTGTCTTGGATTTGGAAAGTGGATTTCAAAGAAATGCCCATCAATTGTACCGTGTAACAAGTGCTCAAATTGCGAGAGCCCGAAACAAAATCATTAAATTTTCAAGTATTCACAATTAGTGCCAAGATCATTGCCATTATTCTTACCCGGGCTACCATATGAACGAGCAGAATTTATGGTAATTGATCTAATATCAACGGTCGATTTCACAAATCGAAATGCACCGAACAATGAAATTACCAGTTCATTTCACTCCAGCTTTTGACTTTGTAATTGGAAAGATTAGTAGAAAATGCTGAAAGCAATTTCCCCGGCTATTTAATCACATTTGCTGAATAAATAATTTGCAACCAGGCAACTGAACGTTGCTGCGGGCAATTCGTAAGCTATTTATGTACACGTTAATAGCGACTAAAATGGGTGATTATGAAGATAATTTTAGTTACGTACAACGGTGTATGTGTTGAACGTTGGCGGACGTACTGTGTCGAAGTTTGAGAGGGTGGAAGTTTGTCCTGCGGCAAATGCGAGAACATTGAACATGTGGAAATTGGTAGACCATATCAATTTTTTGATTACCGTCTTTATCATTTGCTTGAATTTACAACTAAACGCATAAAATTCGCTTCATTTGGAACATTGCATTCATCAAACTAAATTTAGTAACAAAAATAGAAGGCAAGAACTTGTTGAGAGTGGTAGCGTCTCATTTTAGATATAGTTTTCATCCATGCTATGCACATCGAGTGGTGGCCTTTGTCTCGCCATTGCATTTCGAAAATAACTTTGACGCTTTGAACAAGAGAGCATGCTAAGCTGAAGAGAATGGAGATGGATTTGCGGTGCATTCGCACGATGCCACGTTTATTCCCAAGCAAAAATTTACACTGAATCGACGTTGCGTTAACACATATCTGACACTGTTCTCTCACGGTTTTGAACGTCAATGCAATTTATGTTTGTATTGGACAGTGTGGAAGTCCGCCGAACTGTTTTACATTTAAAACCATGTCGCCGAAGTGTATGACCATTGCGTTATCATGGCGAATTTTGAAACCATTTTTGGTGTCGACTCTTGATACCCGAACAAACATACACCGCATCCACACGGTTATTTGAAATCAAAAATGATGTCAAACGGCTTCATACTCTATTATACTATTGCCACACGGTTTGACGTTCAAAACTGTGTGGGAACAGTGTCAGATATGCGTTAACGCAACTTCAATTCAATGTGAATTTTTGCTTGGGATTATGGTCATAATTTCTTGTGAAAAGCTCATAACTAAATGGAATCGCTATTATCATCCGGTTTTTGCGTAGTTACACGTGTAAATAACATTGAGGTCAAAAATATTTATGGCCAAAGCAACGATCATTTTACGATACAACGCTTCTTTATGTCTCAACCATATTCTATATACGTGTGGATATATAGGGTGGTAAATATGCGGAGGAGTACGATTATACTTCATTCTCTCCCACTCTCTCTCTCCCTCTGGTGACTGCATAAACTCACACATCCGATCCAATTCAATTCAATCCCGATGCGAACTGAACAATGAATGAACAAGGACCCGTGTAAATGCGCTTTAAATTAGTGAAAGTGAGCAACATATGCCCTAGACAGATTTCGAAATGCGGTCTGTCTCTTTCACTGCCTTTTTACCCTCTCTTTCTCTCCCTGTTTCTCATATCATCGATGCTGTGGCTTGAAACAAAGGCAACATATACACTCTTAATCCCATTCTCCTAATCGCATTGAAACCTTTCTTTTGTGCCAGACATGGTTTGTTAAACCGACAGAGCCAGCGAGCGAGCGAGTGAGCGAGAGTGATCAGGAACAACATTCTGATGCAACTGTGTGTGTTGTGTGTATACAGAGGCATTTCCAAAGAACGGAATGCTCTTTTGGCCACGCAATGTGAAACGTTTTCGTCGACATTTCCTGTTCACATTTGGCATGTCATTGTTGATATCCATTTTCGGGTGTGCGTATTTGTTCAAATAGATCAATGTGTGAACTAATCTGTGCAAAAGGGAATCAAGTAACTTTACCAGTCAATGTTGACTGTGTGCACCGGATTTGAATGTGTGGAACTGTAGAAGCTTGGCATATCATTCTCGTCCGATCAAAATACGTGTACAACACAGTTCCAAACATATGGATCAACCATGCAAATAGTCAGCTTGTATGCCAAAGTACAAAACTTTTTCCTTTCCCTCCCACATTCCGCCCTCCATTTTCTTCATCCATTGCAGTTTTATTTTGTTTAATCGTATTTAGTTTTGTGTGTCGCATGATACTCATCAAATTAACTTTGGTACATTGTCTACCTTGCAGGCAGTATGTTAAATCCACCAAAGCAATTTCAACAAACTGGATTTTCGTTTGCTTGTTTGCCACCAGATTGTCCACTTACAACTTTACCTGCTGCCGTCGGCCAAAAAATATATATGTATATAGTAACACTAACAGTTGAATAGCAAAAAAGAGCGGTGTCACTACCGATTTCCATATGCGCATTCATCAGTCAACGAGTGTGTTTGAGCTACTGCGACACAAAATATAAATGAACTACACTGTTTACGCGCAATAAACACACGGCATAACAATTTATGCACACATTACATCCAGCTATATTATTATAGAAATCTATTCTCGACAACCCGATTCTCTTCTTCTCTCCCTCAACCCTTTTCGAGCCCGGTTGAAAATTTATACTTTTCGTTCATTTTCGCAACGCATTCGGAATGCTGAAAATTGAATGTGGATTCGTGGTAAAAGTGCCTTTTCATATGTAAATGCTCGATATCTGCATATGTATAATTTGGCTATGGCGATTCGTGTGTGAGAGAGTGAATGCGTTTGAGGCGCTTCTGAAGGACTTGAAGTCGACAACTTTTTTTTCTCCTCTGCGGCGAAAACCGCAAATGCCATTCCAAAGCAAATCCAAAGACGAAAAGGTGAAACGGCTTGAACGAGAACGATGAACGTGGTAGGAAGAGAGGTGGAGGGAGAGGGAAACGAAGAGGAAATGGTTTCTGGTTTGTTTGGTTCTCAAAACGATTTTCTTTATAACTTTTATTTATTTAATTTCAGACCACAAACATGCAGTGCTCGTACACAATGATAGAAACGGAAAGCGATTCAAATTTACAATATGAAAACACGTTTAATATACAGGCACACAAAGAGCGAAAGCACGATATATGTGGCGCCTGAGAAACAGAGGGATAGAGAGCGCGCGCTCGAGAGTTATGCTAGATGGCCAGATAGAGAGTTCGAGGCAGGCACGAGTAACAATTTTCTAAACACATTCACAAATCGGGGCAACATTATATTTGGGATTTCGCTTGGCGTACAGCATAAAGGTGTAATAAAATTAATGTACTGTGTTTGCTTATTAATTTTGCGGTGTCGGTTCGGTGTAGTGTTGGTAATGTTGAAAATCGGAAAGCATATGTAAAGACTTAGAGAGGCGCACACACTCAGCCATACTCTGAGGCCAAGTGGAAGAGACAGAGCGAGAGAGACATAGAGAGAGAGAGAGAGAGAGAGAGAGAGTATGTGGTCTGGGATGTGATTTCTTATTGTGCTGTTTAAATTCTGCTTGAAACATATTGAATTTGGTTATGCAATGGGAAAAGGGATGTCGCCGCCAATTTCCAATTTAAATCGTAGTCTCTCTTCCTCTCTCTCTCGCCCATGCCATTCCATACGAAACGGGAGGCACACAAACGACTCGGTCGAGCTTTGTATTTGTAGATCGCATTAGTGGGCTCGGGTGCTTTTGTGTGTAAGTGTGGTTTGCTAAAGAGAAAATACGCCTGAATTTTCATAGCATTTTACATTCTAATTGATAGTTGGTAGATGCTATTGCTGTTATTATTGTTGTTGTTCTTGATATTGTCGATGCAAAACATAATTTAAATGTTCACAAAACGAGCACTTGAGCACTTGAGCAGTGCGGTAAAAGTGAGACGGAGATAGAGATAGAAAGTGGAATTCGGTTTTGGGAAATTCTCTCAAGATGAATAAATAATTCGGAAAATTCCGTCGCAACAATGAAACACCGCACATGATATAATTGAGGAGCATGTCTTGTATTATCACATTCGGATTCGTGTTCATGCCGATAAATTGTAGATGCACAATTGCTTCAGCAGACGTGCTCATCGTGTGTCTTTGACGCGCACTCACTGGCACCATTTCACCTTCGTTGATGCCCTGAGCTGTAACTATATGCTACTACTGCTGCTGCTCCACAAAACTATATCGCATCGACACTTGAAATGTTATTTCTCACGTGCCTAACAGTTTCTGTAGTAGTCATTTTACTTAAGTAAGTGCTACTAAAAAGCACTTCTTGTCGTAATCATCACGCACACATCCGATATGTGTGCGACTATGATTTTCCATTCAGCTTGAATACATGAAACTATGGAACTTTTCCACTTGCTGTCAGAACATTTCGCAGATGGTTTTTTTTGCGAAGGCGCAAGGAATTATCATCCAAAAATGTATCAGAAAAGGGATTTTCAATAAATTTCTCATAGAAAATATGGCACGTAAGCCAGCTTCCAAGTATCTCATATGATAGTTTGGTTTTGTGGTATTGGCGTGTGGTATTTAGTGAGCTTTCACTTAGTAATTGGAATTGTTACACAATGATAAAATCTATTGCGGTTGATTTTCTTTGAACGTATGTTTCCGTTTGTTACAAAATTGTAATAACCCGATGACGTTCAAGTGGAATTAT